CGATGAAATCTCCATACAACGAAGAATCAGCCAAGGTGGCATTTTGTCGCCAACATTGTTCAATGTTTACTCGGAACAGTTATTTAAAAAGGCACTTGAGAGACAACCATATAGAATAAAAATCAACGGGGAACTACTTAATGTGATTAGATATGCAGACGATACAGTAATTATGTCAGATAATATTGAAGGTCTCAAAATTCTGCTTGATCGTATTCACGAGGTAGGAGAGAAAATAGGCATTAATATAAACTCAAACAAAACCAAATTTTTAGTGTTTAGTCGTGAGCCACATCCCGATGCAAAGCTTCAATTGAACGGAGTCCAAGTTGAGAAAGTTCACAAAATGACATATTTGGGAACTGTGATAACGGACCAACTGGATCTAGAAATAGAAATAAAACTTAAAATAGCAATGACTGAAACTACTTTTATGAAAATGAAGTCATTTTTTTGCAATAACAATCTCAGTTTAGAACTAAGACAAAGCATAGTTAGGTGCTATATTTGGTCCGTACTTTTGTATAGTGTAGAAGTGTGGACGCTAAAAGTATCGGTCATGCACAAAATTGAAGCATTGTAAATGTGGGTTCATAGACGAATGCTGAAGATACCTGGGATAGCAAGAAAAACTAACGAAGAAGTACAAAGGGGCGTCAACAAAGATAGAGAGCTGCTAAAGACTGTTAAACATCGAAAAATGTCTTATCTGAGGCATATAGTAAGGAGAAGTCAATATAAAATATTACAACTGATCCTTAAATTCAAAATAGAGGGCCGTAGAGGTGTATAAGGAAAACAAGTTTCTTGGTTAAAAAACATTCGTGAATGGACTCAGATATCAAATGCAGGACAATTATTCCACATTGTAGAAGATCGAGAAGCCTTCACAATGGTGATCGCCAACGTCGGATGATACTGATATGGCACGCGAAGAAGAAGACGGATATAGTAACTCGATGTATAAAAATAATATGTAAACTTTAATAGTAGAAGCATCGTTCTGTGATATCTACAATAAGATTTTGAATGTTACTGATTTCATTAATCTTCTGTTGCACGGGTGAAGCCTGTCAGTTCTGACAGAAATATTTTTTGCATTAACTTAACAGGTAAGGGAAAGTAGCCTAATTTCGGATACCATTTACAATTAGTGTCATATTTTTCACCTAATAACACATTTTAAACTTTTATCTACTCAAGAGTACTTGCAGAGTAATATAGAAACTAATTTTATTATCATAGACAATTTATTGAAAATCTTTTTTACAAAAAATATTGTTCAATAAAATTAGTGCTTTTGTATGTCAAAAATTTTAGGGCTCCTAATTTCGGATACCCTATCCGAAATTAAGACACCATTTTGTTCATCATAAGAATAGTTACACATCTTGACAAAAGTCGCAAATATAGGTTTTCTTCTTATCAGCATTGGCGCACATCTCATGACACCACTTGAAGCACTTTATACACCTTATCCACTTCTCACCGTGTATATCTTCGGAATATAAACTGTCACAAAACATACATTCTGTGTCTCCATCTTCATCGTCTACATCCATATCAGAATCATCATCCAAAATAAGGCCATCACCAGGATGTGAAGTGTCACTACTACTCGATTCAATTTTTTTTCTTTTGCTTTTTTTGGCGTGGAGTTTTTTTTCTGTTGACTTGATTTAATTCGTTGCTTATTTTTGGTTTCTTTTCTTTCAAAGACTTTTTTCTTTCTTGTTCGGCTACACTTCGTTCAAGTTCATCTTTATAAGGTGTACTAGTTATTATCCAACTAGAACCTTTTCGAGGATTTTTTTGTTTGTTTGTTTGTGAGGTATAACTGCAAGAAGGCAGTGGACTAATATCCTCAGCTCTTATCATAGTTGCCGTAGTTTCAGTTGCATTTCCATTGGATGATTTATTTGTTAAGTTATGTTTTGGAGGTGTTCTTTCGATAATGCTTTGTGGTTCTGGTCTTGACTGACCTCTTGTTGGTAATACTTCCCCATGATTTTGATTTATGGGTGGTGGTGTTCTTTCTCTTTGTCTCTCCATTATAAAATCGTGATCAGAAAAGTTATTTTTATTAAAAGGATATACTCCAGATTTGCGAAAACCATTCGCGGAAATTTCTGCAGTAGCACTTTTCAAATATGCCGGGCACATAAGCTTACAAATTTGATACGAGTTTATGGTGCGTCCAGGATTTTGCCTTAACCACATCTCAATTTGTTGCGAATAATATGTTTTAAATGGTGACATAAAAGACAAATCTAGAGGTTGTAGTTTGTGTGAACTGTGCGGCGGGATACACAAAATTGTTACGAAATTTGCACGTCCTGCTTTTATCACATCTATATTTCTTGTGTGGCTGTAGTGACCATCAAGAATAAGCAGCACTGGGTCTTCACGGGATGGTTTCACGTGAGCTATGAAATGCTGTAGCCATTGGGAAAAAATGTGCTGCTGAATCCAACCTGATGGATGGCAAGCTGCAATAGAGCCAGGCGGCGATCCATCTAATAATTCCACTTTCATGTTCTTTCTTGGAAACACGAATAATGGAGGGACAAACCCACCAGCAGCATTCATACAAAATACAACAGTAACTAATGCGCCTCTTTCAGTCGCGGTAACAGATCCAACCTGTTTTTTTCCTTTTAATGTTATAACACGAGTATTCTTGGACTGAACCGTTGTTATGCCGCTTTCATCAACGTTATAAACTCTTGCGGGGTTGAAGTTAACTTTTTCCATTGACGTTTCTAAAAGATCATAGAATCTGCTGACATTTTCTGGGGTAAATCCCTTAATTCGGGCTTTCGAGATTCCTTGTGGTTTTCTAAGGGACAAAACTGCGTTTCGCCTCATAAATCCCCTTAACCATTTTTTACCGGCAGATTCGGCATGGACAAATGGATGACGAAGACCATTTCGTAAAGCTATTTGATATGCAAGTCTCTTGATATCAGCGGTCCCAATTCCGTAAAATCGCCGGTCCATTTCTAGGCAATACGAGACTAAATCTGCTTCCATTTCTGCAGAAAATACTGGTCTTCTTCCAATTTTAACAGCAACCAACTGCTCCGGAGTTTTATTTTCTTGCTTAACATAATCTTCCAGAGTTGATTTCGGAACAGCAAATAACTTCGAGGCTTTAAGATACCCCATTTCCTTTCCCCTGACGGCACGGATAGCACGTATCATTCGGTCTGGATCCCATTGTTTATGTTTTTTACTTGTTTTTGGCATTTTCTTCTGAAAAGAAACAAAAGTTTTTATGCTAACATGATCATCAATTTAAGGTTCCTAATTTCGGATATCCGAAATTATGGGACTTGTACTATCCGAAATTAGGAATTTTTTATTTTTAAGGTTAGGGCTCTCTAATTTATATGTGATTAAAATCTGCTTTAAATTAGTAGCAAAATCAAATAAAACAGGTTTCTAGCTTACCCCTGCCAAAAGATCAAACTTCAAACAGGAATAAAAACACGAAAAAATAGGCTTTGAAATACGACCGAAAAAAAACTGCACAATAACGTTTGGTGGTTTCGGCACTGCCATCTAACGGGGAGCAGCTCTACTACCTAAACAATTTAAGATAATGTTCTGTGTGGTATTCAGCGTGACATACGTATAGGTTTCTGTTCGCAAATAAAGAAACTTTTTTAGATACACCGCTATCCGAAATTAAGACACTATCCGAAATTAGGCTACTTTCCTCTACTTGCTAAAATTTTGTTATATTCTAGGTACCTTTCAAGTTTAATAATCTGCATATATAGGTACACATTTTTTATAAAAATAAATAATATACATTCGAGATATACCGATAAAAGGACTGACAGGCCTTACTCGTTCGTTTATGTAACTTTTGCCAATATACACAACTGTAGCAAAGACAGAAGAATCTTTAAAAGAAATTAGGACTTGACTTGGTTAAGCCAAACATTGCAACACAGGCTTTAATTGAGACGTTGCCTAGAGGTGTCAGCCAGATTGACGCAAAATATGCGGGTATTATAATACATGATCCAGGGCATCCAGATCTCCCACCACACTAAAGGGGATACTTTAAATATTGTAAAAGGCTTAAAACTAGGTGCTTTTGCAAAGTGTGTAAGAGCCGACTTTGTCTGGCACATAGTACAGCCTGCCTTGCGAATTGTCTTAAGTCAAAATTGGAAAAAAAATTTAAGTTTAGGTCACAGTCGTTTTTGCTGGTAAAGAATTATATGTAATTAAAATTTGTATTTTATTATTTTTTAGTTATTTCTTATTTCTTTATTAGACTAAATCCGTTTAAAATTTTTGTTATTGTAGAAAAAGGCGTTATTGATTTTTACATATAAATATGTCAAAAGTTAACAGTTTTATGTATTTTTGAGTATTTATAAAGATGTACTTATAAAGGTGAAATTTTTGCAAAAAATAAAATTTTACCCTAAAAAAATTGAAAAGAAGTTTCTGATAGGCCTCGTCCGTGTACTTGTGTAATTTTTAGCCCACCCGTCCACTGGAGGGTTATGGGTAACTTAAAAAAATAATATCCAGTACCAAAACTAATAAAACATTAATTCAGAAAACTTTATTAATATAGCGTGAATAAATTTCGTAAAATATAAACGTATGTAAGTCGTTATTTTTAGAAAGACATATTTTGTTATTGAGTTTTTTAGGAAATTATCTACAATATTCTATTTTTTACTAACATGAAATAATAAAATCATGTATTCCATGTATAATAATGTTCTATTATACCATCCTGTGATACAGGCCACCCACAATTCAAAATGTTCGATTAATCGTTTCAATTCATCATTGTTCTCGAATATACCAACAGATGATTCTCGAATATCGTTTTGCACGAGTCATGCGTGGTGACGAGTCTGACGAGTTCAAAACAAAATGTTCTAGCGTTCTAGTAAATTCCTGACATGTCTACTTTCAAAACAAGTTTGTATATTATATATACCGGTGATTTGAGTTACCGTATTTAGTTTAGTAAACTGGTGACCAGAGTTGTAAGCTGCTCGTTAAATTAAAGAGTTTAGTGATATTAAATTATTTTAGTCTAAAATTAATCAAAATGGCATTTATCCCGATAGTGTGTCGTGAAAACCATTGGGCTCCACATTGCCCTCGTCGTCAAGTTGCAGTGCCTAATCGAAAATTTGTTGAAGACATCACCCAAGACGTCCTGAATTCAATTGCTCTAGCCCAGGCTTTATTTGACCCAGAACAAGATACAGGTGTAATGAGACAGAATTCTAAAATACTCAATCAACCCAGATCATCTGTTACAATTGACGAACATAAATTCCAAGCCAATTTCGATGTACAGCATTTCAAACCTGAAGAAATTACTGTCAAAGTAAATGGTGACAGATCGATTACTATTGAAGCCGAACATGAAGAGAAACAAGATGAGCATGGTGCAGTTTACAGGCACTTTGTTAGAAAGTATAAGTTGCCAGAAAATTGCAATATAGAACAGGTAGATTCCAAATTGTCATCTGATGGTGTCTTAAGTATTACAGCTCCTATCTTTGGACAGAAATCTTCCAGTCATAGAACCATTCCTATTATTCAAACTGGGAAGCCAATTAAGGCAGCAGAACAACCTGTAGAACAGAAATCAGATTGAAGAGTAGGTTAATATTATTTAAAATATTTTACAGCAAATGTTTTTTAATTTCAAGACTGATTTTTGAATGTATTATTAATTCCGTTTTTTGTATTGTATCATATTTTTTTATTTAAATAAATACATTTATGAATTAATAGAATTTTGATGTTTCATTTACTTTCTAATATTTAAATCCTTTAAAAGTCAAAGTTTAAAATATTTTAAATTTGCAATAGTCCATTGTATTTTTGTTTATTATTCAACAGGTCATTTGACAAGACAGCTTTAAATTCAGTATAAAAGAAAATGAAGCCATGATTTAATTCGTCTTTCCAGATTTAGCTTTTGTCAAATTTTGCCTTGCATGATAAGCTGCAATAATGAGTATCTTTGCCCTCTCATAACATGGTCTAAGTACGCGACTACTCAAAGTAAATATTGTCATTTTTATCATTTTATTCACAGAGCGGCTCCTGCCCATAGATGTATATATTAACACCTTAATATATACCTCTATACCTCTGCCTTACCTAGTCTATTCTGATTATGTCTATATACTATATACTTGTCTATATGTCTATATACTTTTATTTACGGATAAAGTAGTAAGACTTTTTTGTTAGAAAGTATAAGTTGCCAGAAAATTGTAATATCGATACATTTTTGGTGAAGTAATGTAAGTGACATTTTTGGCAAAAATCATGTTTTTCAATTAAAGTAACGATATTATTGTTAAACAGGTACTGCCAAAAAGTAGTAAGCCTATAATTACTTTAAACCTTTTTTAGGACAAGTAATACAAGTTTTTTCAGTCATAATTTAAATAAGCCTAAGCAGGTTGAATTAATAACATGTTTTTTCTACAAATTGTTTTTGGTGACTTACGTTACTTTGCCAAAAATGTATTGATATAGAACAGGTAGATTCCAAATTGTCATCTGAAGGTGTCTTAAGTATTACAGCTCCTATCTTTGAACAGAAATCTTCCAGTCATAGAACCATTCCTATTATTCAACAACCTGTAGAACAGAAATCAGATTGAAGAGTAGGTTAATATTATTTAAAATATTTTACAGTAAATGTTCTTTAATTTCAAGACTGATTTTTAAATGTATTATTAATTCCGTTTTTTGTATTGTATCATATTTTTTATTTAAATAAATTCATTTATGAATTAATAGAATTTTGATGTTTCTTTTACTTTCTAATATTTAAATCCTTTAAAAGTCAATATTTTAAATTTGCAATAGTACATTGCATTTTTGTTTATTATTCTTAACAGGTCATTTGACAAGACAGCTTTAAATTCAGTATAAATGAAAATGAACAAGGATTGTTCCATGTGATATTAATCTTGAACTTGAACTGGTAGTGACGTATAGTTAGGTCAAAGGTATAGGAAAGTCTCCAAAGACACCAGTATAAAATATCTGTTAAAGAAAACAATTAAAATTGTTTAACAAAATATTTAGGATTACAAACCATGTTTGTAAGTTGCTTTACTTTTTTATCAGCATTTCTTAAATAATTGGGACATCTGGGTTTCCTTAAGGATTTCAATTCAGCCAAGGGCCCAGAAAATGAAGTACCACCAAGTTATATAATTATATCTCTTAATTCAGAACTGTGTGGTCTAGCATACTGGCATATATGCAGTTTCTATAACCTTGCTCAGGTTTTTTAATATACTTTGTTGTGCCTTATTGTCTTCATATTTGGTTTTTTATTATATTAAGTATTACCATAGCATAACCAGCAATATTTAACTTGTAGGTACTTATACTTGTATATTTATATGTCTCATCATACACAATGATATCAGGGTTATTAGTTCATCATCCAATTTCTAATCCCTCATTGATAGCAATACTACAATCTGATTATACTTCTCATTTTCTATTTTTCTTGATCTCTGGAAGAATTGTGTTAGGTGCCTAACTACAACTACTATCAAAATTGTCACATTTAGTGTGTTTATATAGTTCTACACATATAAACTAGTTATCACAAGTAATATTAGGTATTGTTTGTATCTTCTATTCTTTTTAACAGGAGAAATATACAGATGATAGTTGGAAAAAAAAATAGTAGGTACAGTAGGCGGTAATGTAGATTAATGTGAAGCTTCATACCATGTTTTCTGTATTTTTAAATGATATTTTTAAAATTGAATAAAGTACATTATTATTTTTGTATTTTACGATTATTATACAATTATCAATTTACAAAGTTTATTTATTTATTTTTGAAATTTTTTGTACAATCAAAAGTACATAAAACCGCTGTTAATATCCGTGTGTTTATATATCATAGACTTTAATAAAATTGAAAAAGTTTACATTTTGTATAATGTACTCGCCTGATGGCTTAAATGGACTTTTCCAACTATTTCGTGGCGTTACTTTTATGACGCTCGCCTCAGCATTTTACTATAGAGAAAAGTAATACAACACCAGTATATAAGCTTCGCATCAAAAATTAAAATCAACTAAGTACATAAATAAAAATTCAAAACAAGAAAATGCACACACCGTGCTTGAAAGAAGAAATAAAATTAAAATGAAAAAAAAAAGGAGTTACTTAGAATTTTATGCATGACAAAGAATACAAAAAGGGGGGCGAGAAAATTCTCCACAGAAATGGATATGTAATAGAGAAAGGTTTTGTACTTAATAACTGGTTTAATATTAACTGGTTTTGTATAATAAAATACACAATGGTAAAGGAAAAATCTGATTTTGTTTAAATAATCAAGATACATAAAACATCAGAAATGGTAATATTCCAACAGAATAAGTGTTAAAGATAAAAAGGAAATATAGTATTTTTCATATAAAAATTCAATCTATCTAATATGAAAGCATATCAGCTTTCTACAGACTATTTATTTGTTTTGGCATAGCACAATCACAATACACAACAATAGTATATATATATATATATATATATATATATATATATATATATATATATATATATATATATATATATATAATGAACTAGAAGTATTTGCTGACAACAAGGAAGTAAATTTTCAATATTGGGTTTGCAGCAATAAAAATGATACGTGTACTCTTTTAAATTTTTATTCCGAGCTTTCGGACATGGTTATGTCCTTCATCAGGGAGCTACAAATATGATGAATAGTTTGTTACAAGTTTGTATAATTAATTAAAGATTCGCTACTTACAAACTTAATGAGGTTGGATCATCAATGATTTTCTACCATGTCGATAAAACTTATCACAGTCTGTCATATTATTATATAAAACTTATTCCTATATTTAAAATTTTTAAAAATTGCTATACAATCACAAACACTTACTTATTATACACACATTTCTGACATTTTTATTCTTAATTTTATTATATCGTCATTAGTTTTTTCACAAGACAATTCAGTGGTTTTTATTATTAGATACTAGTACCAAATTATAGGCCTATCATTAGATGTATTGTGGCTATATAAATTATTTTATATTTATTAATATGTTTCAACACAAAATTTATTAAATTAACCTAAAGAAATAAGGTCATAATTCTAAAAATATTACAATTGAATATGATATTTTGTTTTGTATGACCCCAGTATCTGTGTGTATACAAAAATTACTAAATTTAAAAACAATTAAAAAAAAAAGAAGAAGAGAAAACTTTTATTTAATTTATTAAAAGTCAATTGATAAATTACTGTTTGTGTTATTGTTGCATTTATCTAGTAGTAATAAATAGGAGAACAATTCATTTAGATGACCAATATCCGTTCTATGATTCATTGCGTTGTTGTTTTGGCAAATGTATGCCATTTCAAGAAAAAGTCTTTTGGTGATGTTACTTTCCTGTTCTACTACTTTGATGTTATTGTAATCTATCCGATGCCCATTTTTAAATGTATGTTCACCCAATGCACTATGTAATCTATTGTCAGACTTGTGCGATATAATGCGGTCTTTAAGGCATCTTGATGTTTGACCGTAGTATACTTGTTCACATGATCCGCACGGTATACAATAAACAACATCTGTTAATGACAAGAGTGGGGATTGGTCTTTAAGTTTAGAAAAAACTTTACACTTAAAAAACATACATTTAAAAATGGGCATCGGATAGATTACAATAACATCAAAGTAGTAGAACAGGAAAGTAACATCACCAAAAGACTTTTTCTTGAAATGGCATACATTTGCCAAAACAACAACGCAATGAATCATAGAACGGATATTGGTCATCTAAATGAATTGTTCTCCTATTTATTACTACTAGATAAATGCAACAATAACACAAACAGTAATTTATCAATTGACTTTTAATAAATTAAATAAAAGTTTTCTCTTCTTCTTTTTTTTTAATTGTTTTTAAATTTAGTAATTTTTGTATACACACAGATACTGGGGTCATACAAAACAAAATATCATATTCAATTGTAATATTTTTAGAATTATGACCTTATTTCTTTAGGTTAATTTAATAAATTTTGTGTTGAAACATATTAATAAATATAAAATAATTTATATAGCCACAATACATCTAATGATAGGCCTATAATTTGGTACTAGTATCTAATAATAAAAACCACTGAATTGTCTTGTGAAAAAACTAATGACGATATAATAAAATTAAGAATAAAAATGTCAGAAATGTGTGTATAATAAGTAAGTGTTTGTGATTGTATAGCAATTTTTAAAAATTTTAAATATAGGAATAAGTTTTATATAATAATATGACAGACTGTGATAAGTTTTATCGACATGGTAGAAAATCATTGATGATCCAACCTCATTAAGTTTGTAAGTAGCGAATCTTTAATTAATTATACAAACTTGTAACAAACTATTCATCATATTTGTAGCTCCCTGATGAAGGACATAACCATGTCCGAAAGCTCGGAATAAAAATTTAAAAGAGTACACGTATCATTTTTATTGCTGCAAACCCAATATTGAAAATTTACTTATATATATATATATATATATATATATATATATATATATATATATATATATATATATATATATAACAATATATATATATATATATATATATATATATATATATATACATATATAACAATATATATATATATATATATATATATATATATATACATATAACAATATATATATAAATTGTGTAAGAAATCAAAACATAAACAAAATCACTACTCTAAAAAAGCGGCAACACTTTATACACTTTTGCCACTCGCTAAATGTCAATAAAATTTGAAGTATTCCCGTATCAGTTGCGTACAATTGTCTAATCCATTTAATTAAAATTATTATCTTGTGGATATTAGACTTATTAGAGTTATTTCATAAAATTTATAGTATTAATAATAACAAATGTTTTTGGTTATTTAATCAATATATTTCTAAAATTTCCAATATAATGATGATTAAATTTTTCTGAGTATTACACCATGTTGACGCTTAGCTGTGTTAGGAAAATTTGAAGTCTAAGGTTGACGTTCTGGAAATTTGAAATATAAGTGACGTCACTTTATATAAATTGTGACGTGCAAGCATTTTTATATGAAAAATGCCATATGCGTAGATAAAAGTAGTAGAAGAAGAAGTTTTAAAAGAGTTTAGAGAGGAAATTGATACTGTTCTTTTAGATGCGTCATTTCTGTGCTGTAAAAAACGCTCATTATACAAATAAAAAGTAGTAGAACTGTAGGATATAATATTTTTAAACGTGTGTATAAAATATTTTATATAGGTGTATACCATTCTTCAAAGTAAAATACTAGCACGTCACGATTTATACAAAGTGACGTCACTAATTAAATATATTAGACAATTGTACGCAACTGATACGGAAATACTTCAAATTTTATTGACAAATACGCGTGTAGCAAAAGTGTATAAAGTGTTGTCGCTTTTTTAGAGTAGGGATTTTGTTTATGTTTTGATTTCTTACTTTAGATAAATTTAGATTAATAGCTTTAAAACCTAATTATTGTTGTGTATTGTGATTGTGATTTACCAAAACTAATAAATAGTTTGTAGAAAGCTGATAAGCTTTCATGTAAGATATAAATATTTTGAACAAGAAATAATGGCGGGACGTTTTTACTATTAAAGCCCTAAAAGAAGTAAGTTTAAAATTTAGAAAATATAATTTTGTATTAAAATGTTTCCTTATGTATTTTAATGTGTGGCAGTAGCATCGAGCAAAAAGACAAAAGAGGGAATCTAATCGCTAATTTAATTATAGTAATTATAAAGAGATGATAAAATTATGTTATTATAATATTTAATCATTAATAAAATTTTGAAGTTAATTTAAATTTATGATTTTTGGTACAGTTATTTTGTTAACATAGATATTCTTTATAAAACAATATTAACGTAGGTACAGGTTAATCAACTTATACTCCAGAATTTGATATTTTAGATGTTTAAAAAGATACAAAAAAGTGGTAATGAAGGTACACAAAATTTGTACGTATATACTGAACTAAACACAAAATCAAAATAAATAATAATAAAGTCAACTTATATCAGTTCACCGGCAAGATAGAAGGCAGCAAGCCTTTTGTCTTGCCGGTGTAAAGTCGTCTGAAGTCGATATTTATTGTGTTTTTGAATGAATTTTTCTTTATTTAAAAAGCTAATAAATGTTTATTCTTTATCTCTTGTCCACTTAGTTATTTGTTTTCATTTACGCAATGGGCGAACGTATTACATGTAATTTTATCTATGAACATACTACTGACCTGGCCGACGACGCTCAAAAACCTATACATTTCCCGATAGACCTCACCATGGCTACTCCATTAGAAATTCGGATTGTAACGTTTATTTGCCGATCCCGTCCACTCAGCTAGTAAAGAATTCTATTCTATATCGTGCAAAGAAACTTTATAATCACCTTCCAAGAGAAATTAAATCCGCAACATCCTTCATTACGTTTCGTAAGGTGACAAAAATCTATCTCTCAGAAAGACCATATTATTCAGTTGACGAGTTTCTTAATGTATAACAAAGAATCAAAATTAGTATTGTTTATAATTACATTTGGGTGTCTCAAGCAGTGGCTACAATTTGTCTCATTTGTTGTTGTCTGTACAAATTATGTAGGTTATACAATAATTTTACTAATTTAAAATTGTGTTATTCTGTTTTTTACTATATTGTTTTTGTTTTATACTTTTTGTATTATTTGACTGATTTATTTTTTAGCTTTGTCCATAAAATTGTTCAATAATTTTCAGTGACAATAAAGCATATTTCTATTCTATTCTATTCATATTCACCCGATGTAAAAATAAGCAATTCTTCCAGCGACCGTTAGTTAGAAGTTTGAAAATTATCGGGTGGTAGATGATGAATTGCCATGTCCAAAATAAAGTCGACTTTACACTACATGATTCCTTGTTTCTATGATGTTTTAAAAAATCATGTTTACACTGAATAATAAGTTGTGATTTATAATATGAGTGACAATGAGGTTACGTTAATTTTTCTTTTTGATTATGATTACATTGATCATAGATAAATAATAATATATACGGATATCCTGAGTTTTGTAGTCAATATTGGCCTTTAAGTAAAACTCTTTTAGGTTTGTTAAGTTTTCGGGTTTATTTTATTCTTTTTCAAAATATACCTTCTGAGGATTGTATTGTAAAATTAGCAAAATTAATTAACATAATAACATTATTCAATTTGATTTTCTTTTTCTTTCTGTCCAGGCAGGTAGTAGAAAACACATACAAAATGGATGAAATATAGCAGATACAAATTTGATATTTTTAAAAAGTGCTGTCCATTGAAAAGCTTACATGTTTTTACAGTAATATTTTGTTTCTGTTTCTTGCCGCCCGAGTCGGCGGAGTAGTAGCCAGTACCAGTTACCAGCGAACCCTATTACGACCGAATACAGAACGAAGATTATCGAATGTTCAGGATTATTCTAGTGAGAGAGGATACGGGTATAAAAGGTGCTCCTCTGGCGCGGAGAATTAGAATCAGTTCAAATCTGAGCGAGAAATTTAAGTACGCGAAAGTAGCAAAGCGAATTTTGATTAAAAAAGTTTTAAAGTTTTTTTGTTAAAAACAGTAAAGTGTAAAAATGTCTCTTTTACCATATTTGTTTGGCGATGTATCCCTCAACAGACCATCAAGACTTTTTGATCAACATTTTGGAATGGCTTTGGAACCTGAAGATCTGTTACAACCGGCGTCCAGACATTTCCTCAGATGTCCTGCTGGTTACATGAGGAACTGGAGGTCTGCAGCGTCTGGAAACGATTCTGGCTCTACAGTAAATTACGGTAAAGACCAGTTCGCAGCCAATCTAGACGTCCAGCAGTTCAAACCCGAAGAAATTTCTGTGAAAGTAACAGGCGAGCGAGAGGTTACCATTGAAGGAAAACACGAAGAAAAAGAGGACGAGCATGGTCATGTTTACAGACATTTCATCAGAAGATATGTGTTGCCCAAAAATTACGATATGGGTAAAATTGAGTCCAAGCTGTCTTCAGATGGTGTCCTTTCAATTATTGCTCCCAAAGTTGAGAATGGATCCGTACCACACAAGAGTATTACTGTGGAACAAACTGGCAAGCCAGTTAAAGCAGTAGAAGAAAAAAAGGAAGCTGTTGAGAAAAAGTAAAATATATATTTTTTTCGTTTATTCGCATTAATTTGAACTTGATTTTATGTTAATTTTATAAATGTTTTTTGTTTGTGTATCGATATTTCCAATATTCTTTAAGATGTAGTTTTGTAATTTAGCATTTTGCAGGTCATGTAAAATTATAAAATATGTGTAAGACTGATTTCAACCAAATATTTTTTACATTTTGCTAAATTTTTTAATAAAACTAGTAAAAAAATTTCGTTGTTTTAATTATGTACCTCATTTATTAGCATTTAATGTTGGTGATAGATCATTTAGAATCTTTTTTTTTGTACTTTTTTTTTCATCCAATAATCATTTTGAACGAAAAAGATAGTTTTATCCATTTGACTTTGTAGGTCAAAAATAAATGTCTAAATAAAATTTAGTAATTCAAAGTTATACCAAAGAATATAGACGCAAAGAAGCGTCCATATTCTTTGGTTATACTCATCGAGCAATAAGGTTATACTATAATAGTAAACATTTTTGAAATTTTTTTAACTTTTTACTTAATTCTAATTAGCATTTTCACTTCTAACAATGTTAAGCTGGATTTATAGTTTGACGGACTGTAGACGTAGACGCACTGGAAAAAGATCAACATAGACTTTTGTGTACTCCTATTTATAAATGAACGTAAACGCAAGACAGGACGTAAGCGTAACGCACTGTAACGGAAGAGTTGGTCAACTTTCAACTTTTACAGTGCGTTTCTTACGTCTGACCAATCAAAAGAAAGAATTTTGTGTTGTCGGTTGTCAACCAAAGCGTGGCCGGTCTTTCATTTTGATTTTGTAGTTGTTTACGTTTGTTTGTTATTTATATTTTCGAATTTTGGTGATTATTTGATACAATGGACGGTAAGTTAATAATTTATAAAATAATAAAAGGATATCAGAGTATAATTTCAATCTTCTTCTTACGGTGCCTTATCCTTAAGGACGTTGGCCATTACATTTGCCCATTTAATCTTATTTGTAGCAGCCCTGAATAATAATATTTAATAATTTCAATATTTCAGATAAATATGAGTTGTTAATTGGTCTAATTCGGGGTTACCCACACATCTATGATAAATGCAACAAGCACTTTAAAGACCAAGAAATGAAACTAAACAGTTGGAAGAAAATTTCCGAAGAACTTCAAATGTCGGGTATGTTTCTCTTGTGTAATTCGAAGTAAACTGCCTAATTGCAGTTTTGTACTACTAGTAAATGTTTTTTTGCATTATACTTTTTCAGTGAAGGATTGCCAGAGAATTTGGATGAATTTAAGAAACAAGTATGGAAGGGAGAAGAAAGCGTTGCCTTCTGGTTCCGGAGCTCCTGTTACCCCACAATGGGAGTACTTCGATTCATTGTCATTTCTTAATAAATACATTAAGCCCAGAAAGTAAGTACAGGATTACTTAAACATGTATTTTTGACCATAGATCACGAAAATGATTTGTGGCCTTAAAAAGACTATATTTTAAACAACAGAGAAAGTAAAAAATTACCTCAACTTTTTAGTACACATACAACAACAGAAGATGTAAAAACAATGACAGCCCCAAATCAACATGCTCCACCTTTACAGTCACCAGTTTTTGACTCATCAAGCTGCTCCAGTGCATGGTCAAATTCTACGATGGTTGAAAGCACCTTAGACTGTCCTACACAGGATTATAATATGCAAATGTCTCCACATTCAATGTATGAGGAAAATATTATTATCCAGATGGAAGAGACAGAGGATGAAAGAGTCACTGTAAATTCAGAAAAGGCGCAGGTTGCTGATAAAGGTGAGGCTTAATTATCCCCTTTGACTACTCTATTATAATTATTAAATTCTACAAAAATTCTATTTGGTCCTTTGCTTCAAAGTTTTTTAATATTATTTAATTTTAAATTAAAAATATCTCGCAATTTTTATACTATTAAAAGAATCAACTCTAATATTATTTATATTTACTGACTCTATAAACACAAAAAACAGACAAACATATTTTTCAGAATAAATATTAACAATTGAATTTAATTCGTTCTGTCAAAATTATACACACAAAATCAGTTGGGTATGTAGGTCAAATAGATTTGACCTCAATGCATTGAAATTCAGGTACTGCCATCTATTAAAAAAATATTAAATGTTCTTTTATAAATGTTTATTTTATACAATATAAATACATTTTCATTGGATTTAATACATTGTGTTCATTATAGAAAAAAATAAAAAAAGAAAAAACTTAAATGGACCTGAGCCATCTCTTCAGATAATTGATGCTGCTAAGTCCATCACTCAACATTTACAACATCTGACTGGACAGAAGAGACAGCCAAAAACTTCAGCAGATACATTGGGAGAGTACATTGCTAGTGTTTTAAAAGAAATGACTCCTGAGCAGCAAAAACACAAAAGACGGAGACTTCTTGAAGTGTTAGAAGATGATGATTAAGATATATAGTTTTTGTAAATATTATCTTTTAATAAAAAATATTACACAAAATGCATGTTTATTTAATTTTTATTTGTTTCTTTTATCTCAAAAGTTCCGGATAGGGTAAATGCGGACCACATCAAGAGTTTCATAATAACTAAGATAAACTGTGAGGACATACAAGTAACATTGTTACCAACTGACCATAAAAGAAGCGATAATCAATGTTTTATGATAGGTGTACTACCTGACTTAAGGGAAGAAATTTATAATCCAGCTTTTTGGCTGAAAAAAATTGGCATTGAATAATTTAACTTTAGATTAGAAGAAGATTTTTAATTGAGAGCATCACAATAGAGGTCTGACAACTGGAGAAGATACACCAGACTCTTTTAGTCAAGTAAATCCAAGAGAATCGTTACTTTTATCATCATTAGCCAGTTGTTTAAAAATATTGCAACTAAATGCTCAATCTTTGACAAATAAGTTACTCAAGTTGAAGTCTTAACATTGCTGGAAACACCTGATATAATTTGTCTATCGAAACATTGGTGTACTGAAGAAAACATCCAATTTATGACACTGAATAGATACAACATCGCCTCTTATTTTTGTCGAAAGTTCCATATCCATGGAGGATTCATCATCTACATCAAAACTGATATTAAATTCAAAACATTAGATGTTTTTAACTTTAGTGAAGAAATGGTGTGTGAGTGCTGTGCGATTTCTCACCCATTAAAGATAAAAACCCATCAGTTACAGGGATATTTCAGATGAAAATATATTGATGGTTAAAGCAAGGATTTCTTCTACAGTTTTTGATGAGGTATATTTACAATTGAATGCTGAATATGCCACAAAAACATTTGTTAGCATTTTATATTACAATCTAAATTTGTATTGTCCAATAAAAACAGGGTATAAAGCACATAAAACAAATAAGGCTACATGGGTAACAAATGAGTTAAGACACGCTAGTGAAAAACTAAAAAATCTACACTGGATAGCAAAAAAAATATAGCAAGTCTCAAGATACCTATAAACAGGCAAAAAAAGAATATAATTCTCTATTAATAAATACTAAAAAAAACTTTCATAATGACTTAATTAATTAATCAATCTTACAATATACCAAAAACAATTTGGAATTTAGTAAACAGTGAAACTGGTAGACAAAAGAACAGGTCTAATATTATTCTACATTATGATAATAAAATTATTAAAAAGTCTTGTGATATTGCTAATTTGTTTCACTCATATTTTGCTACAAAATTACAGAATACAATCTTCAACCTCATTTTGGCACATCATTACCTTCTTGTATTACCTCAAAAATGTGTACCTAACAAAACATTTTTGTTTTTACCCTTAACTCCAATTGAAATAAAAAATACAATTGATCAACTAAAAAATAAGCCTAGTACTGCCTATATATCTACAAATGTTTACTCTATGTAAAAGAGGAAATCAATACATTTCCAGTAAATTCAGACAATCACTATTACAATACAAGAAGTGCTGAATCTTTAGAAGTTGCTAAACACAGAATATCAAAATTGCTTCAGATATATGGGACTGACCCTATATAATCATTTGCCAAAAACTGTGAAAGAAATATGTATCACTTTCCTCTAAATAAAAAAAATGTTAAAGATTTACTCTTAAGAAAAGAATATTATTCTATAAATGAATATCTTGACAACAAACTGCAGTAGCTTCATATTTTACTGTAAAAATGTTATTTTATGTTGTTAATTTTGTTACACTGTGAATATTGTATTATACACATTAATGTTTTTTTATACTGAGTTCTGTAGTGACTGTCTTAATTGTTGAATGTCTTAAAGGATCTATAAAGTATGACTATGACTATTGGAGTGTTCTTCCTCTTAATACTTTTTCTAATTGCCACGGAACTTCTCCTTGAGGTGATACAAAATAATTTGTCATGGTATTTCGTGACTCAATATTTATCCGTCTAGCATTGTTGGTGGATAAACGTCCAACTGACTGGAGTGGTTCATCAATTTCTTTCCGCCATATGGCATTTTCTTCATCTCCACAATCTACATAGCCGGGAGGGCAATAATGAGTTGTATCAGTTGTCCCTTCAGTTTTGATCATGCAAAAATTATGGAGAACCACACAGGCTTTTACAATACTGTCCACATTTTTTACATCTGCAATTATGGTTTGCTTGAGAATTCGCCATCTGGCAACTAAAATTCCAAATGTATTTTCAATAACTCTGCGCGCCCTCGAAAGTCTATAATTAAAAATCTGCTGTGTCAGTGTCATGTTGTTCTTTGCATATGGACGCATTATGTAGTCTGTTAGGGGGAATGCTTCATCAGCAACAAACACATAGGGAAATTTAATGTCAGTGTTGGGAATTTCACAAGGCAAAGGCACATTTAATGTTTTTGACTCAAGGCGCTTACCAAACACACTATGTTTAAAAATACCCCCATCACTTTGAGATCCATAGGCACCAATATCTACCAAAGTAAACACATACTTAGCATCACAAGCTGCCATCAATACGATGCTAAAAGTTTTCTTATAATTAAAGAAAAGTGAGCCAGTTTTTGCAGGAGCTTGTATGTTTATGTGTTTCCCATCTAAGGCGCCTATGCAATTGGGAAAATTCCAGAGATCAAAAAAGTTCTTGGCAATATTCTTCCAATCTTGGGTAGATGAAGGACTTCTCAGATAATTTGGAGAAAGTGTCTCCCATATTGCATTACAAGTTTCATTAATAATTTTATGAACAGTTGTTAAGCCCAT